CCAGCCGGGTGGTTACGTACTGGTGCATGGCATATCCAGGGGGTCGGAGTCTGCCCGGTAATATCCATTTCGGCACACGCAGTTGGTGGCCCCTTCCGAAGTTGTCCTGCTGTTAATTGGGCAGTGAATGCACCCTTCGTCCCCTTGGCTGGCCTTAAACGTCCCCGATGGGCAGCCTGGAAAAGAAGTGAGAACAACATTTGGCGAGAGGAAAGCCCAGTGGAGTGGGGAGATAGGCAGGGAGGAGGCTGCCTGGGTTCTACTGGAGCTGCTGGACAACATTCAGGGGATTTCAGGGTCCAAAGCCAAAATCTGACAATTTAAAACAAACAAACGAGCAGGAGAAACAGCAGCTGGTCTGAACATTTCCAGGAACCGGGCACGGCTGCTCTGTCAGATCGTGAAGACAAAGTGCCTGCTAGCCTGAGAGAAGTCCCTACCTATGATTACAGGATGGGCTCCCAGTTACTCGGCAGTACGGTTAGGACTTGAAAGAGGAGCTGACTCCATAACTCCATCTCCTTGGTTCTGCCCATTATGCCATTGTTGATGCCTGGATGTCGCAGTTATGTTCCGTGACAGCCCCCAGCTGAGACCTGAACCTGCAGCTCCCTAGGCAAGAGTTCTCCCACTGGAGCTAAAGGAGATGCACTAGGAATGGTGACGGCCTTGCATCAGGTCTCCAGCCCCCAGTGGGAGGAGCGTTACAATGGTTGCTGGGAATGCATGGCGGGCTGAAGGCTGAGACCGGGATGTGAATTATGGCAAATAATAGTTGTGATGGAAATCGAGAAATTACTGCCAAATAACTTATCCAACAAAAAGCCCTTGTAGGTCATGGAACCCCACTGGTTGATTCCTGCACCCCTGGCATCAGATTCCTAAATGTGGACTGTAGTGGTCCATCTGTATTGCTCTGCGTGTCCATTGCTGATTTTGTGCTGTTAACTTGTTGTGTAGCGAAGGGGATGGCAGACGCCGTCTGCAGTGAAATACAATAAATAAAAACATTTCCCATTTCACTTTATCAGAACAAATTCTTGAAATCAGTGATTTCTAGAGAACATCTCCTTCCACTCTGCCAAGGGTCGGAAGGGTGAGAGAAAACAGCCCAAGAAGGAGGTTACAGCCTGGGACTTGTCAGAAATTTTCTGTCAAAACATTATTTCTGCGGAAAATTAGGATTTCCACTAAACAAAAGGTTTTGTGAAAGGTTTCTGCTTTCCTCAAAAAATTTCCATTTTCATCAGCAAACCAACCCCCCAAAAAACGTTTGGGTTCCAACGGTTTTCAATGAAAAATTTTCAGTTTTCATTTTTTCTTTACAAAAAGTCAAAGTTTTCCACAGAAAACCATCCCCTTTTCCAATGATCTCTGTTACCAACCCCCTTCTCTCCACTCGACTGAGCATCTCCAGTGAGAAGCGGGCTTCTCCTTCCAGGGTCTTGGATCTTCACCCCCCCCCCCAACCCGCTAGGGTGGCTCCACTGCTGACCCAACTTCCAGCACACATTTGATTGCAAACCCATCACCGAGAGGGCTGAGCTGTGGGGAGCGAGGATGGCCAAGCAGCTCTCAGTGTAATGGAGGAGCAACGCCAGCTCCATAGATAAGATTGCTGCAGTTTCTGTGTTTAGCCCCATTTTGAAGCTGCAATCAACACGCAGAGTTTGATCGGTCTGAAATTACAGGCCCAGGGTAGTTTGTGGTGGAAACCGGGCCCTTCCCCTGCAGACAGTATCCACAGGAGACCCAGGCCACTGACTGAGCCTGCTGAAATCTAGTCCAGCTCCAAGCGCTGAAAATGAAAACATTCCTGGAGGTTGGGTCTGGCTCTGTGGAGAAGGCAAAGGGCCCGTTCCGAGTCCTGGCTGGCTCCCAGCTGCACAGAGCCAGCTCTCCCACCCCCAAATGCCCTGGTACTTAGGGGAGGAGCATCGGCTGTGGTGAGGAACCCCCAGCTCCCTTGTAATGATTCGAGCGAGGAGCAGGTGAGCCAAGAAACCGAGAGGCGGCAGAGAACAGACAGGGTGGGCCGTGCCCTGTGGGCAGGTCTCACCTTATCTACCACAACACACGTTGCCTCTGCCCCATCCCAGATCCCTAGAAAGGGGGGAAGCAAGGCTCTAAACACAACTTTGCTGCCTCAGGCTCTCCTGGGTTCAACTCCCAGGCCAGACCCTGCCTCACGGTCTGACCTTGGACAAGTCCCTGCCCCTCCCTGCCTCCGTTTCCGCGTCTGTACCAGGAGCCCAGCGCTCAGAGAAGCTGATGCTTGCAAAGCGCTATGCAAAAGCACCCTGGCCTGCAACACACCTCCTGGAAGAGAGGGAGCTTCCCCCTCCCCTGGTTGGCTGAGCTCAGAAATGACCAGGTTGGCAGCTCTGTCCTGCACCAGCTAACCCTGCTGGGTGACTCACAACCCCAGATGCCTTCCACCCCTCACTTGCTAAGCCCCTAAGCGCCACAGGCCATGCAGCTCACGCAGCTGAGTCACTGGCATCCTGCACGGCCTCCCGTAATGTTGCTAATCTTCACGAACAAGCCGTCATCGACTGATTCCTGCATGTGCCTAGAGATGCGGCCCAGACGGGCAGCTCAGCGCATCGCTGCCTCAAGGGGGGCGCAGCAAAGCCCGTCTCGCTGGGCGTGGAGTGAGGATTAATTGTACCTGTTATGCAAGGGAGGCCAAAACCTGGGGCCTCTGAGCCCCAGCAAGCCCCATGAGCCCCCGGGAGAGAGACTGGGCACCCTGGCTCCAGGGGCTCCGCACCTATCAGCCTATGACCCAGCAGCTGCACTGGTTAGTTTAAATGTGTCCCCATTCTGTGCCGGTTCCTGGGCACAATCCCCACAGGCAGCCCCTGCAGCAGCTGCGGAAACTCACCTCCCATCACTGCAGCCCTGCTCCTCCGAATCCCCTCGCCCAGGGCCTGAGGCCTGCAAGGATGAGGTCTCTGTGCCCCCCTCCACCTCAGCACTGTCCTATCTGGGCGGGGAGGGGGAAAGCTGCCCCCCACCCTTCAGTCTCCCCCCCCCCCCTCATCGTCATGGGGTGAGAAAGGGGCACTATGGGTAGCCATCACAGCCAGTACTGCCTGGGCCTCGCTGTGGGAATGAAGAAGGGGCACCGAGGCTGCAGACCCCAGCGTAAGTCCCGTGTGGGGGGGATGGAGACCGGCCACCCCAAGCCCCCTGCACTGAGCAGGGGCTGTGGTGGTGGGAGGCAGATGAGGATGTTCCTGTGAGAAGCTCCCTCAGGGACGGGGAGAGGCGGGGGCAGAGATTGTGACTAGACACCAGGATGGAGCGGGGGGAGAGCGAACGGTTGTAGCACCGAGGGCTCCAAAGGCAGAACCGATTTATTTCTAAAAACATCTGTTAGCCAGGGAGAGGGGGAGAAATTACCCTGCCAGGAGGGGCTCTGACCTGCCTGCTGAGCAGCAATAGCTCCCAGCCTGCGGTGCACTAACTCCAGGCTAGTCGGCGGGGCCCGCTCCTTTCCCGGGGTGGCACTGAACGGTGGCCGTTTGCTGACAGGGCCTGCCCCGCGGACACCGGGATGGCCAGGGCCCAGTTCTCAGCGCTCCCTCCCCGGCTGGGAGCAAAGCAGAGTCAGTGGGGGACAAGGGGAGGGGGCCGCAAGCCTGGCAGGCTCAGGCCTCTGACCATACACTCTTCTTCCGACTGTCGGCTCCTGCCGTGCCGGCCCCACAGTGCCCGCGCTGACCCACGGGGGCAGGCAGCCTTCATGAGCTCCAGTGCCCGCTCCGGCCACTGTGCCTGCCACATGCAGGGAGACCCGCCAGGGGGCGGCCCCACCCTGGTGCACGTGATGCACGTGATGGGAGCGCGTGTAAATAAACAGGCGCCGGGACTCCCAGGGAGAATCCTTCCGAGGATTTCTTGACTCCTTTAGCACCAGCCTGGGGAGCACCTCTCTAGGGGCTGCCGGCCGATCTCTTTCCTTCCTGGCTAGGGGACAGCAGAGCCGCTTGGGAAGGGAGATTCCTGCTCGGTGTTCAGAGGGGGAGCCAGGCCCCAGCAGTCTCTCCCTTCCCCTTGGCGGTGGAGAACTCTGGGCAGTTCACACTGCCGGGCCTGGACAGAGCTGGGTGGAAATCATGGTTCTGCAGCGTCTTCCTCCTGCCACCTGCCTTGCAGCTTCCCTGGCACCAGCTCCCTCCTCTCCTGGGGCATCTCCTGCCCCAAGGCTGCTGTTGGAACAGCCTGGCTGGTGCGCGCGGTTTGCTGGCTGGACTCACAGGAGAGAGAGAGAGATCAGAAATGCTTTGTTACATCCCATCTAGGAGGCACCACAGCCAGCATCATCCCTGCTGTCTATACCCCAGCGATGGGGCTGTCCCCGGCCATCTATACCCCAGCCGTGGGGCTGTCCTGTCCCCTGCCGTCTATACCCCAGCCGTGGGGCTGTCCTGTTCCCTGCCATCTATACTCCAGCCGTGGGGCTGTCCTGTCCCCTGCCGTCTATACCCCAGCCATGGGGCTGTCCCGTCCCCTGC